GCCTCCCTTTCATGTGGAGCCAAGTGAAAGTCTCCAAGTGAAATGTAAGCTCTGCGGATCCTCGGGGGCCTCGGCCTGATGAGAGGATACGGAAGAAAGGCGGCCGTTTGGAAAGCCTGCCGAAGGCATGGAGGGCAGAGGGCCCAGCTGATGACACGACTCTAGACCTTTCTAAAGAGATGAATGAGAAGGCAGTGCCTAGACTGGCCCCAGACGATGTTGCCCCCGAGTAGTCCTAGGCCATCACACCAATTGTTTTGGCTTTCTTCTTCAAACATTGCAGCAGGAAAAGGTGATCTTTTATTGCTCTTCCAAGTCGTTTCACCGTTTTTCCTCCATCATCCACAATCTGCGTGGGAACAAGTCTTTTAAAGAGCACTGAACTTGGCTTGATTTGAAATCAGAGTAAAATTACTTTTATGTGATGTGGGAAACATGAGAAAACAACAACTTGACACACACTGGCTTTTTAGCCTCTTAGGATCTAGTCGAGAAAGAAGACCGTGGAAAAACACAGCCAGATGCACAAGTGTCTGCTCTTGGTCAGATGTTCACGAGTGCCACGATTGTCTTTTCTCTGTGACTGTTGATCACGCAAATAGCCTCAGCAGTGAAGATTCAGCAAATCAGTATGAACAAATGAAATGTTAGTGGCATCGCAGGGACCTAACCCTAGGCTAGCCATAATGGAGATCAGTTATTACCATAACACGTTGTCTCCTTGCCACTCATTCTATTAGCAATATTTGATGATCTTAGGAATGCTTAAGAGAGATACTTTATGGACAAGTTAATCAGTCCATTAGCTGCCGCCGGAGTGTGGAAGTGATCTGTGAGGAAATAAATTCCTTCAGTTCTCCCATCAGCGTATCACAGAAGAACCATACTGCGGGTTACTTGGAATTTTACAAGAAGTAGTTCCAAATGGTTTCTGAGAGTGCTACAGCTAAATCTCGTTGCATGGATTTGGCTGGCAAGTGGGCCAAACAGAGCTAATTGAGGTAGGGAAAAATCGAGAGAACAGGCCATCATGGTGAATAGAGTTATTTGTCACCGAGTTTGTGATAGGATTTTCAATTAATTCATGCGGGCTTCCAATGCCTTCCATTAGCCCTGTCAAGATGAACTACAGCCACATCTAAAATGCCATCCCCTATTAAACGGTGCATGTCAGGGAATTTGTAATTTCTTCTGTTCCACCAGAAGATGAATGGATTCTGCTCAGAAAACAAATATGTCCTTCAGAAATGTACATTTCAAACTCCTGAACAGGTCCGTGGAGAAACGTTCGTTTCATTGTCGTACAGTGACCGTGTATTAAAAATGTAATTGTGCTGTGAATTCACCCAAAAGGACAAGCATCCCACTGCACAGAGACAAATACGTTGTCAGGTGCCCCATTCCAGTGGGGACCGGGCTTTTCATACTGGGCCACGGTGCTGATGGAGACAGTGTCTGTACCTAACACTGACTGCCTGCGCGTCACTAAATCCTCACACTAACCAGAACAAGAAATTAAGGCGCAGAGGGGTTAACCTGCCCAAGACCACACAGCTCGTCAGGGGCTGAGCTGGGACTCCAACCCAGGCAGTCTGCCTCTGGAGTCTGTCCTTTCAACCCATACTCCATACGTGGTCTCCGCTCTGTGATTTCAGTTACCCATAGTCCATAGCAGCCCCCAAATATTAAATGGGAAATTCCAGAAATAAATAGTCTTTGAGTTTAAAGTTGTAGGCTGTTCAGGACAATGTGATGGAGTTAAGGCTGCCTAGCTCCTTCTCACCTGAGATGTGAATCATCCTTTGTCCAGAGTGTCCATGCCGTTATGTGCTACTGGCCCAGTGGTCATGGAGCAGCCATCTTGGTTATCAGATCAAAAAGGCGGAGCATATATAGAGTTCACTACTCAGTTCTGGCCATCCACTGGGGGTCTTGGAATGTATCTCCCATGGATCAAGGAGTTCTCCTGTACAGCCTGATTATAGTTATTATGTCTTCTCTGTCTCTCCCACAGTAATATTCGTTGCTGCGTTTATTTACTGTTGGTTTTTCCGGAAAGTCATGATGCATTTTTGCATAGAAAAATATGCCATGGATTTTCCTAACAGCCTAACACTGTTTCCTCAAACCTCTCTTGAGAAATATTGTGATAACTGGGCTTCAAGAAATGCACAATGTAGCAGAAACTCTGATGAGGCGTCTGTGAGGGTAACAAACGTTAGAATGCTTCCTTCTGCAAAGTTGGACACATTATGGACTTTGACCAAAGTTCACAGGAATTAGGAAGGACCCAAGTTCCTGATGGGCACTTCCTTTCTGAGAAACTCCAAAGGCACAGCAGAAATGTTTACAAGCTTGGGTCAGAGCTGAATAACAGCCATCATGCTGTCAGAGTCCAGACTGGAGCAAGGTCCAAAAGCCAGGGGGCACATGAGGGCATGACTACTCCTGGAAGGCTCGACTCCTGTCTTTCCTGGCTATGGACCTCTCGTAGCTTTAATGAATCAACATCAGGATCCCCTGGGCCAAGCCAGTACAAGATGACTGCCTATAGTATTTTAAAAGCAAGAATTACAATTTCTCTTAAGCCAAACACAATGTTTAGCAAGAGAAGTTTGGCTCGTGGGTATCCCACACTCTGACTAGAAACTGAACCAGTTGTTGGAATGTGTATTATGATGTTCTGTTGCCATCAAGGGTAAAAAACTTTGAGCCACGATTTTTTTTTGTTGTTGTGGGGGAAGCAAGAATATAAATAATGCTCATGTTCTCTTTTATAAGAAAGATTAAACTAAAAAAAAAAAAACCAATTACCTCATTAGTCCTATGCTTCATACATAGCTGCCTGCTTCCCACCACTTCATGTCTGTTTTCCATATTTCTACCAGATGTGTCTATTTAACACCTGGTCTTACCCTGTCTGTCTGTGCTTCAAACCCATGAGTGACTCATTGCCTGAGTGACACAGTGATCTGAACTCTTTAACATGCCATTCAAGACCCTCTGTCAGCAGCCTTTGCCTACCTCTCCTCTACGTTATATTCTATAATTCTTCTCTAGCAACATTGCATTTTATTTTATTTTATTTTATTTTATTTTTGCTGTAGGGTGCATGCGCTCGCCAGAGAGACAGAATGTGACAAATCACCTTTCGGGGGGGATGGCCACACCACAATCCCTTCTACTCCATTCTCCTCTCGGGATCTTGGGTATGCATGCACACGTGCCCTGTGTGAGTTTAAGCCACTGGGTCCAGGACTCGAACCGCGGTCGGCTACATGGGAGTTCAGCGACATAGCCATTATACTAACTGCTGGTCCCAACATTGCATTCTTTATAAACTCCAGGCCTTCTCTACAACCTAATATTTCTGACCTCCGTGTCTTTGCTGGTCGTATCCCTGTGCCTAGAACCTTACTTTTCTTTTCATTCCTCTACTCCAGTTTTGCCTGGCTAACTCCTGTGTCTCTTTTAAGACTTGGGGCCGTGTTTCATTTTCCCACCTAGCGGATTGCAGAGACCTGCTCCCCACTAATAGTGCACATCTCCTCTTCGTTTCATTCACCACACCGTGTTATAGTTATTTCTGAAATGTCTTCTCCCTTAAGGAAAAGAATTGTGCCTGTTCCCCTTTAAATCCGCAGCACTAGCATGTTGCCTGGTAAAAAGTAAAAGCCTGAGAAATGTTTTCCAAGTGAATGAATAAATGAGTAAGAACATGAAAAGCAGGAGCCCTGTAATCTCATTCAGTGAATTATTATGGACATCTTTGATTTGCCATTTATCCTTTGAATCGATGATAGGCAGCAGTGTCCCGGAGAGGCCAGAGATCTTAAATTGACAACGAAAGCTCATGAATGGGCACTTCCAGTGCCACTGGAAAGTATCATATTTAATCCTCTTGACGATTAAATTGCTTTGAGGTGCACACACAATTTAAACCTGTCACTTAAAACCATAATGCAGTTTAGTAACACTTTAAACCTCATCTCTTAGCTTATCCACCTAACGGTTCTCTCCAACCAGGAAAGAGCAAAGTGGAATGATCTCAGCTTGTAACCATATGTCTGCACATCTGCAAATTACACACTCGGAGACAGCAAGGACCATGACTCTTGTACTCGCCGTTGTATTCCAGAGTTTGGCACAGGGTTAGACCCTCAGTGAATATGCGTCTAGTTCATGGAAGAATAAAGCCTACTGCCCACATTAAAAGCAGAATTAGAAGGGTTATCCAAAATTCCAACGATGGTTTTAATCGTATAGCTTAAGAGTCAATTAATGAATTGTGCTTCTGTAAAACATGTTCTTTTCTGAAAATGTATCCTGGTGAATGAAGTAGTTAATCAGAGGAAATGAAGTTTGTTTTTTAATGAGTTTTCGAATTTCCTATCAGGGAGTCAGACTCAGCAGCTCTACTTTCATGCACTAATAACCCTGAACAAACAAGGCCAAAGCCCCCAGGAAGTTAATTTAGGACGTAGAAGGCCCCATCATGGCCAGTGCTTGAGCCAGTTGTTCTCGTTGCACTATGGCCATTTGTTTTAAATTTGCTGTTTATTGATAGCACGTATACATAGTGGTTTGTGTTTGTTTTTGTTTTCCAGAGTGGTTTTTGCTACAGCGTGCGTGTGCTCCCTGGAGAAACAGAGAGAAAGAAAGTGAGAAGTTACCCCCACCCCCCGGGGGATGGCCACACCGCAATCCCTTCTCCTCCATTCTCTTCTCGGGATTTTGGGCATGGACACACATTCCCCTGGCATGAGTTTTAAGCTGCCGAGTCCAGGACTTGAACCACAGTTGATTATGTGGCAGTCCAGCGCCATAACCATTACGCCAGCAGCCGATCTCTAATAGTGTTTTTTAATGTGAGATGTTCTTTTTGAAGGGTCGGCCGTGGCTTTGACCTTGACTTAAAATCACTGATATCACAGTTAAATTTCGGACATATTTTTTATCTTTTTTTTTTTTTTTCATTAAAATGTATCTCTTTCTTTAAGGGCATACCTCAGCTACCATGTGCCAAAGCATTATACAACTACGAAGGAAAAGAGCCTGGAGACCTTAAATTCAGCAAGGGCGACATCATCATTTTGCGAAGACAAGTAGATGAAAACTGGTACCACGGGGAAGTGAATGGGATCCATGGCTTCTTCCCCACCAACTTCGTGCAGATTATTAAACCGTTACCTCAGCCCCCACCTCAGTGCAAAGCACTTTATGACTTTGAAGTGAAAGACAAGGAAGCAGACAAAGATTGCCTTCCATTTGCAAAGGTAAGTGAGCATCGTTCTCAGTGCCTCCACATACGGGAATGTGGCTGGTATTTCCTTTTGCAAAAACAAACAATAGTTTCTACACAGTGAAGTCTCACTGACCTTACTCTCTTGCTAGAATAATCTGGAGATAGTCTTTGATTCACAAGGAAGGTAATGTTTTGCACAGACTTTCTATCTGAAAGATAGTTTGGTTGATATTCTGTGTGTTACCATTTTCATATTTTGAGCCCAAGTTTTTTTCTCAGCCACTTTACACAAATGAAACGTCGTTACTTCCTTAGTTAATATGTACATTTCTTGCTTAAAAGCACATAGGAATATAGCTACTGAACTGACTAAGTGGGTTGGAATTTTAAGCAGAATATTATGTTTGTGTGTGTGTGTGTGTGTGTGTGTGTGTGTGTGTGTGTGTGTGCCTTAGTGAGGAAATAGAGTAGGATATGCATTTGAATGGGCATTTAATGTATTATTTTATAGGAAGTGAGACCATCTGAGAATCAGTCTAAACTGGACATTTAAGAGACTGGCATAGATAGCATTTGAGATTGCAGTTTGTGGATCTAAACAAAACAAAATAAGTAGCCAGCCCCTTACCTAGAAGGACTCCATAGTTTTGTAACTCTCTGAAAGTATGCCAGGTGAATGGATAATTGTTACCATTTATTTCATGAAACATTGACTTCATGTACTAAAGATCTTCCATATCATTTTTATCCACTTACTCTTAAAACTTGAGTCCCTTTCTGGCAAAGGAAGGTTAAAGTGATAAGCTTGCTGGGACCAGGTAGCCTGACCATGTACTGTCTCTTCAGGACGATGTTCTGACTGTGATCCGTAGAGTGGATGAAAACTGGGCTGAAGGAATGCTGGCAGACAAAATAGGAATATTTCCAATTTCATATGTTGAGGTAAGTTCATCTCTAGAAACTTGGTTTATGTTAATACTCAGCTTAGGAAAGAAATCTTAATTCTGCAATTTGAGTATTACGAAGTCCTCACAACACAAAACACCAGAAATGCTCTATTCCAAATCACTGCCTAGATTACAAAGAATTTATTCGTTTCATCCTACAATTACTGAAGACTGCGAAATATCTGAAATCCAGCATTGTCTTCCGGCTGAAGCATTCCTGGACCTTGCTGAATGTTGCTGAATGTTTACTGTCAGTCACCTGTACTATTTCTAGGTGGTCAATTCCATTTGCTAGCAGAAAGTTGATAAAATAAGGTGGGAAATTAGTGTATATGCTTTTTTTTTTTTGACACATCATCAGAACTAGAATCATTATTTACAGGGTAGGACTTCACAAAATATTTATTAAATAAAAGAGTGCATTTCCCTCCATTCTATCCCAACAACTACTTAATACACTCCCCACTTTTTTCTTTCTTTTCTTTTTTTGCCATAGGGCACAGGCAATCAACTGAGAGAGACACAGAGAGAGAAAATGAGCAATCACTCCCTGGGAGGATGGCCAGGCCACAGTCCCTTCTCTTCCATTCTTCTCTGGGACTTTGGGCACACACGTATGCACACCTGGTATGATTTTCTTTCTTTCATTCTTTCTCTTTTAAAAGAGAGATTTTCACTATAGAGAACATGCGCTCACCAGAAAGACAGAAAGAGAGAAATCACCGCCCCAGGGGAGATGGCAGTGCTGCAATCCCTTCTCCTCCAGTCTCCTCTCAGGATTTCGGACACACACATGCCCAGGGTGAGTTTTAAACCACCAGGTCCAGAACTCAAACTGTGGTCAACCACATGGGAGTTCAGTGATGTAACTGTTACGCCATATGCTGGTCCCCCAGTATGATTTTCAAGCCACTGGGTCTGGGGCGCAAATTGCGGTCAGCCACACGGGAGTCTAGTGCCTTAACTACCACACCACCTGCTGGCCCCTGATCTCTACTTTTTAATCAACTTTCCCCAGAAAGACTGTGGTCAAGCTTGACTCTGTGAAGTCGTTTTAGAGAATACATATAAAGTAACATAGTTATATTATGTTGAAGAATAACACAAATTAGTTATGAACTAATAAGTTATAGTAGACTTTCATTGCATTATATATCATTCACTAAATGTCCTTCACTGATAAGAATTTCTTGCTCAAAACAAAATTGAAGGCATTTTAAATTAAAGAAACAAAGCCCGTGAAACCATTCAAAGTTAGCTGAGGTTATGGACGTTTTCTGGGAAGAAGTGAGCGAGGGCTTAGTAGGTATCTTTGCAGTGGATATATAAGGATTGCTCAAGAGAAATGAAGAAGGTTCATTTTATGGCAGGAAATACACATAGGAAAGGAGACCACCATGTGCAAAATCCAAAAAGTGACAGCACAGATTGTTTGGAGACCTGAAAGTAATCTTGTTTAAAATATCCAAGCAAAAATCTTACACATATCAAAAGGGAAAACCACTGCCACTTATTTTCCCATCTTTTTGTTGGAGGCATTTGTTTTGGCATGATTCTGAAACCTAAAATGACAAATTGTGTCACTGTAGCCAGCGCTCCGTTTCCTCCATAGACAGTAAGATTGCCACAGTTTTCGTAGAGGTTCAGTTTGACTCCTGTGTATCCATGGGAAAGTAATTCAAAACATGTACGAGACTTGAATTTTGTCCACACTATTCACGTTTTTATTTATGAAATTATTTTTTCCTCTTCTGAAAGTAAGCAACAGAAAAAAAAAGTTCTTCACTCTCAGGTAATTTTTCCTTACCTTATTTATGTATTCTAACTGTGGGTTCACCGAAGACTACAGTCATTTCCAAAACTACAAGTTTCTGAATAGTTACACTGAACAGTGTGGGTAAGCACAAGCTTAGTAATAAAAGCCTGTCTTTACTTGTAAGGTATTATCGATACTGCGTGCTGATACTTAGTTCGTGATGCATGAAAATGGATTGCTCTGTTTGTGTTATTGGGCAGGTATAGAATTGCACAGATAGGCATTAAAAGACCCACCCATGGCAAGCCCAGAGTCACGCAGTCATTCAAGTCATCAGGATTATTTATTTTGACTTAAGTTAGACAAATCTCTGCCTCTTTTCTTTCAAATATGCATTTTCCTCATTTGAATTTTGCCAGTTGAGATGTAAACAAATCATCCCTCTTTACGAGCCAGTGAACATTTCTTTGATGTCACGCCATCATATCGAAGTTCCGGGTAGGGGCAGAGCATATGGGGACTTGTTAGTGACACCTGGCTTAGCCTTAGGGAGTAAAGTGGAGGCAGACCTCAATTATTATCTACTTAATCCAGGTATTTGCATCAGCAGACCCTCTCACAAGTCAGTCTGGGATGTAGTAAAGCAAACTAGGAATCAAAAACCAGAACATTTTATTAAATGGTAGTCGTTCTATTGCTCTAGAAACATATTCATGTTTGGCACACTTTCGGGCCTAGGTAGATTCCAATGTAAAACACCTGGCTGTGTTATCAAAAGTCAGTTGTAAATAATTTTCCTTTTTTTTTAAAAAAAAAAAAGTTATTTTAACTTTCTTATTTTCCTATTTGACTAGAGAGAGAGAGGGAAAGGGAAAGTAAGAAAGGAAGTCACCAGGTCCTGGACCTCAACCAAGGTTGGCCATGTGGGAGTCCATTGCCTTTAACCACCATGCCACCTGCTGGCCCCTTTTGTTTTCCCTTTTGAGAAAGACATTTTGATAGATATATAGATAGCATGTACGCTCACCGAAGAGACAGAGAGAGAAAGAGAGAAGACGAGAAATCACCACCCCGCCAGGGGGATGGCCACACTCCAATCACTTTTCCTCTGTTTTCCTCTCAGGGTGTTGGGCACGCATGCGCACGCACCTGGCTTGAGTTTTAAGTTGCCGGGTTTGGGATTTGGTAACTACATGGGATTCCAGCAACGTAACCATTATGTCATCCTTTTGCAAATTATTTTTTTATGTATAAATAATATATAAAAGTTCTTTATAAATAAACTTGTTGTTGAGAGGGTTTTGCTATAGAGCATGTGCCCTCACCTGAGACACAGAGAGAGACTGAGACAGAGAGACAGAAAGTGAAAAATCACCCTCCAGGGTGTTTGATGGCCACATCATAATCCCTTCTCCTCCGGTCTCCTCTCAGGATTTTGGGCACGCTTGCTCACGTGCCTGCTGTGAGTTTCAAGCTGCCAGGTCTGGAATTGAACCGTGGTCAACTATGTGAGAGTCCAGCGATGTAAGCATTATGCCATCTGCTGGTCCTTACATCTTATAAACATTTAAGTCTCCATTGTTCATTCTTTTCCTTCTTTCTTCTCCATTTTTTTAAATGGTGCTGCCCCAAGTTGGTAACACTCAGAGGTTTTGAGAAGATTGAATGAGATAGTCTAGCTTAAGGTCTGGCACCAACATGTCTTATGCCCAGTGTTTAGAGCTCAGATTAGGCCGTAACCCAGAGGATGCCGAGTATATCAGTGAGCAAATGAAAGAGTCTCACCACCACCCCTAATGAGGGAAACGAGTTCAGAATTGACTTGAGTCTCCAGTGGAGACATTTCATTTGTGACAACAGCCTTGTCAGCTGAAGTAAAACTCCTGTGACTCCAGCTGGTTGGCGTTGGTTGTGGAAATGCCCAAGGCACTTGCTTGAGGCAGAAACTATACACAGGACAGGCCTCAGAGTAGGATTGTGGACCTGGTGAGGATCTACAAGTTGGAGGTTCCAATGTGGAGCTGTGAAATGGGGGGGAGCGAAGTTAACTAAAGGGAACTGTGCATGGAGGTGGGTAAAGAAATTGGTGGTGAGACATGCTGCTGGGGCAGCTTGCCCTCCCTTTTTGTCTTCATTTATCCTCTTTTCTCTCTGTGTGTTCTTTAACTCTGGACTACAATTTCTACCTACATTGGAGTAAGGTGATAAAATTGTGGTAGAGGCAGAGTGATCCATAAACACATCTCCTCTTATTAAAGTAAAATAATGGAATTCTTCAAGGATTGCCTGGAGAAGACTGTAGTTGGAGGGAGTGAATAGGAGAAAGAATGGCTTTATAGATGGTCCTAAATTCTGTCCTTGGTGTCTTTGTCTAGTTCTTGAGATACAGGTTTCCTGCTTTGATTATATTCAGCTTCGCTTCTGGAAATTTCTCTCATCTGACCCCTCTCTGGCCAGGACTTAGACATTGTAGACTCCCTTCTGTTTAGACACACTGTTCCTTGACTTGAGCAAGCTGGGAAGTAGTGAGGGGTAAAAGTTTCATGAGGAAATCCAGGGAATTCTTGAAGAAACCATGCCAGGATACACATTAAAAGGGTATATTTATTCTAGGACTGAAGGAAAAAAATTAGTACTTTGCTTCTCCCTTTGTTCAAAAATATCAGTTTTCTACTAAATAGAATGGAAGATTTTAACAGCCCTATTATTGAGAGCTGACTCATTCAAGTTTAGCAGTCATCTGGACAAGGATTACATGATTCTTAGCAAGCAAGAAGTTTGAATGAAGTAAGTGCTAAATATGGCATTTTAAATGTTTTTCAAGTATTATTGTATATTGTAGGCTTTTGGTGAACCATACACTTTTATTCAGTTTCTCATTTTATTTTGATTCCTAGCCATTTGTTTGAAATATCACTCACTGAGTGTTTTCAACAACAAAAATGTTATAAGCAAATTGTTCCTCTGCTATAGATAAAATAAAGATAAGTACTCCTTATGTGAGGATAGCATAAAGTAGGATTTTCCTAATGAACAGCTAGTTTTTAGTTCTGCCAGAAACATTTCTCATTCTTTTTTTTTTTAATTTAATTTTTTAAAAATTTATTTAATTTTTTGGGGGGACCAGCAGTTGGGGTATTGGCTATGTCTCTGGACTCCCATGTATGCAACCATGGTTTGAGTCCTGGACTGGTAGGTTAAACTCACACCAGGTGCGTATGTGTGTGTGCCCAAGATCC